TGAAATTTAGCCTCACAAACAAGGAAAAGGAGCCCACCTCATGCTGACCCTGGGCTGCTGGAAAAAGCAAGGCTTTGCTGCACACTTGTGGCTGTCCCCAGGAGTTTTGAGGGACTTCAGCTCTTCTGCAGTCTCAGAATCACAGAGTGGCTCAGGTTGGAAGGAACTTCAGTGGATCATCTGGTCCCACCTCCCTGCTCCAGCAGGGTCATCCCAGAGCACATGGAACAGGATTGTGTGCAGAAGGCTCTGGAATATCTCCAGAGAGGGAGGCTCCACACCCTCTCTGGGCAACCTGTTCCAGTGCTCAGTCTCCTACACAGCAAAGAAGTCCTTCCTCCTCCAGGTACTTTTTCTTCTGGTAAGAATAGATCAAATACAAACCCCTGACACCTTCTACACCCCTGGCTGCAGTTGTGAAACAGGGAAAGCCAGAGTTTTTCTTTGGATAGCTGACAAGGATTAGTTTTTCTCTCCAAGGTAGTGCTGAGGAGTAAAACATGAACACAGCTTCAAATACTTTGAATGTCTTGCAACACAAGAAGATAAATTACCAACACATCCATCACTTAGATTACTCTGACCATCTGTGCTTTATGCACCTTCTGTTAAGAAAAAAAAGTTGATTTTCAGCTATGCATAGGCTGTGCTTTTAGTTTATGTATAATGCAAATGAGGGGAGAAGCTAGCTAGAGGCAAAATCAGTGTTTAGATGGCTGTTTATAGGGACAACCCTTCCTTAAAATACCTTTTGTTTTTCACCCTGCACATCACAGAGATTTAGAGTCCTCATTGACTTCTGAAAACACAGCTCTGGGAGGACAAAGGATGATATATTCTTAACGAGTGCCTAAAGTATAGTAGTTCTAAAGACAATAAATGCAAGGTCGCATTAGGGCAAAACAGTTAATTACCCACTTCATTATTGTCAAGGTTAATACAGCATTTGAGCACAGAAGCTGTTTTTCATCTCCTTTTGGAAACAAGGCGAGACAGCGTTTCTTACAGACAGATCCATTATAGCTTATCACCGGAGGACAGGCCGCTGCAGAAGCACCATGAAGGATGTCTGCTGTCACCAGGCTCCGGAGGAGATGCCAAACCTGTGCAGGGAGCAGTGGGAATGATGGGAGAGCTCCAGCTCCGGCGTACGGCGCGTTAATTCACGGGGTCTGCGCCCCATTGATTTAATGTGAGACGGCAACGGGAGCAGAAAATTCACCGACCCTCCTTCATCTCCTGGAACATCGATCCCTCCTAAACTGCACAATGCACTGGAAAACGTCCTTTAATAAACATGGGGTATTGACTGTCACAGATCCCATCTTTCCGCGGTGAACCCTGTGAGAGCTGCGCCTGCGGGAGGGCCCCATCCTGGTTTTCCATTTCCATGTGCTCGTTTCCATTACCTGATCACAATAGACAGAAACAAAGGCCTCGGAAGTCTTAGCCCTTTGCAAATAATGCTTTGCTTTTAACTGCCTACTTCAGCAACTTTGAAAATTCCTCAAGTTATTTAGAAAACGATTTAGAAAATTTAGAAAGCAATCTATGTAAATATATGTAGAATTACAGAGAGAGATAGAATTCACTCTTTATATTGAAGCACTTTTTTTTCCCCCCAGTTTCTAAACCCTTTAAAATTGGGAAAAACTAGTCTGTTTCCCGTGACACTAATTACCAGGATAACTGTGCTTGTATCACTTTTGATGTAGCCTTTTTCTGGTACGTTTTCTCTCAAGGTTTTTGGTTTGCTTTTTAAGGTAGAGCTAGAATTTCCCATCGTTTGTGACTCCTGCCCTTGTATTTCAGTCCCAGGAGATTTCCCTCTGCCTAGGTGATGCAGGAACTGGAGTCCATATTCCCAAACCAAGACCCCACATCAGCAGTTTGGTCTTTCCACTGAATTCATTCCTTTGAACCTGGAGACTTCTCTGAGCCCTGGCACTAACATCGGACTCTCAGGTTTGGGAATTTGGGCCATGGTTATGGCAGTTCTCAATCTCTGGCATCTTTCTGCAAATAGTGTGCTTCCCAGGAAAGCTGTGGGTGATATCAAGCCCTCAGCATGCAATTTCTCTGTGGTAAATGACTTCAGGACCGGTTAACGTGGCACAACATACATTTTATTCTTTATAACATCTTCTTTGATTTCATTTTTTAATAATTTGTGCTCTGCTCATCTGTACAGAGCAGTTACCCTTATTACTCCAATAGACCGATACCTGCTTTGGGATATTAATTTGGTTTTTAAGCCTAGTAAATGGTTCTACCTATCAGGGAGGCACCCACTGTATTTCACATTTGTGTATAATCATCTGAAGTTCTATTCAGATAGCAAAATCCTTGACTAGATAGCTTTGTTTCATAGGGTCTTGGTGAAACGCTTCCTAAATTATCTTCTTTTGGTAGGAGTGACGCTAGATAGTTCCTTGGAAAAGATAAAGTTGGTGTAGGCTGTCTGATTTAACCTGAGGGCATCTCACCGTGATCTATGTACTTCCACATAAGGGAAGTGCAAAATTTAAAAACAAGCCAAGGCAAATAGGAATATTGTTGTACTTATCAGCAATAAATAATTGTCATAGTTGATAATAACTGTTAGTAACTGACACTGACTACTCAGTAGAAAATGTGCCTCTGGAGTAGGTAAGTTTATCCTGCCTTTGCGCTGGCCCTTTTAATTTTCTCGTGGAGAGGAACCTGAAGCCAACAGAAATTACAGCCATCACCCTTGCAAGTCAGTGTTTGCCAGTAGTCATCCTTAAAATGCTGGGATAAAAGAAAAGGAGTTTAGTTCTTAATCCCCTTAACTTCATCAGTCAGGATGAGACAGCACTGAGGTCCCAGAGCTATCCAAGACAGCTTCATCAGACTGGGGCTTCGGTGGCAAATGCCTTTTTTTTTTTTTTTAAATCAGAATTTCCTATAAGACCATTTTACTGTTAGTACTATTTTTAAGTCCTCATAATCAAAAAGGTTGCTCCCACGCATGGACCTGTCTGCAGAAAATCCCCGAGCTGCGGGGATTTGTCATAAATGAATTCCCTAACACATAAACACTCAGCTGCATTCTTCTAAATCTTCCTTCTGAAGGTGTCTGAAAATCCTGCTTCCAGACAGCGTCTGCTTGGAGGAGCAGAGGGAGAACTACTCTTCCCTGTAACCAAAGAGTCTGCTCTGCTCCCAGGGGCTCCCTCTGGCTCCGAGGCCCTTTTGTGCAAACACAACGCGGCTGCTGCAGGAAACCTCTCCTTTGTGAAGGCCAGTCCCGTGGAGAGTGTTAAATTGGCACTTTACTCCTCGGCATGCATTTGCACAGGGGAAGCGGGGTGGCAGTCGGGTATTTCAATCTTGTTTTCAATTATAAGCATTTCATTGTCCAATGTTGCTGGTTTATTATGTGATAATTAAGTATGAATGATCGCACACTCATCCTGCCAAAGAGGCTGGAGCCGAATGAAACCAATTCCTCTCATCCTGCTGAATGGCTTTGGAGGCTAAAGCAGTGATCTATCCGCTGTCCCTTATTTTTGCTGTCCTATTGTTTCAGTATCACTGGCTTCAAAATAGCAAACTAGGCAAGTAATTACAGACATAAATCAGAGCAGGGATCGGCGTGAGGTCAGGACTGCTTTGCTTTTGGGCTGCCTTTTCTCAGCTGCCTTTTGTGAGTAACAGAGAAGTACATTCCTGTTAATTTTGTGAAATGGTGATTTTAGTAGTGATAAAGTGCTTGTTTTGACAAAGTTTGAGCCCCTTGTGTGCTTTCAGGCAGAAGTTGAGTGGTCTGTCTGTTGGTGTTGCAAACGAGTACAGGTCCAGTGACCAGGCATCCGATATTCCATGGTTGGTGTCCAATACACCACAGTCAGTGTGCAACGTGGGCTGCACCTCCTTGGGGTGACCACACTGGCTCTGTTTAAAAGCTCAGTAAGTTAAATAAGATCCAGCTGTAGATATTTAGCCCCAGTAAATCAGCAAAGCAAATGTGTTTTCAGTAGAGCCGCACTGATTTATGGCCCTGGCCACAGCTCTGTACATCTTATTCTTGTCGGGTGTTTATAGATGTGAAGTGGTGCTCAGTGGGAGCCAACTGCTGAAAAATGGGTTCAGCCACGAGTTACGGTCTTCAGGTGGTACTAACTAAAACCAGTCAGTCTCCTTGAAGGAGAGCTGTAACCAAGCACTGCTCGTCTTCCATCCTACCAGGAGCACCAGTGCTTTGGACAGAAGGGAGTAGGGACAGGCGGGGGGGGTCTGTGGAGGATGTTGCAGTAGTGGGACACAAACAAGCCATCTGTGATGTCCTAAAGCCGTGGTTGTGCTCAGTGATTTGCTGGATGCTGTGTATTGTAAAGAGATGGAGTTAAGTATTTTTCCCCTCTTCCCCAAGTGTCTTTTATTCTAAGTTAACTAAGAGTCAGTCCCCAGTGGCAATTCTTCTACTCAGGAACATACTGTTTCTTAAAAAAAAGGAAAAAAAACCCAAGAAAAGCCAGTGCCTACTAAACTTTGTGCTACTTTCCATTCCAGCAGTTTGGTAAAATAACATGTAGAAGTGAACACTGAATGATTTTCCTTTAGCTTATGCGTACCCTGTAAATCTGATTCAACCCACCAGTTTGGCTTGATGTACACAACTGAATAATAGCAAATAAAAAATAAGTAGTGGTTTTAGATGTTTAAATGTCTCTATTGTTGGCTGCTGAACACCCACCTCTTAAATTGGGCTTTTTGAGAGTGTCTTGGGGTTGCATGCCAGATCTCAGCTTATGATCTACCCTGAATTTAACCCCTCTTTGTTTCTTCCTTTCTACCCTACTGTAAGTATTTATTGAGATTTTTTTTTCCTAGCAATGAAATATGTGACTGCAGAACATGACACATCATTACATGTATTTCTGGGTGATTTGTGGACTTTTTTACTTACCGGTGGTTTTCTTGATCAGCTATTAAACGAAAGTCAGTATTTAATCAAAGCAATTTCTTATTCCCAGACTATTGTTCGAGGAAATAAGCCTCGAAAGGATACTTCAATCAACGGCCTGCTGGAAGAGTTTGACAATATCTCAGTGACACGGTCCAATTCCCTGCGGAAGGAAAGTCCTCCCACCCACCACCACCAAGGAAATGCAAACCACGTGCCAAGGCACCAGGAGGAAAATGGTTACATCACGTATTCCCAGTACTCCAGTGAGTCAGACACTACAACAGACTATGTCGTGGAAAAATATCGAGACAAGACTGTTTATGGGGAAGAGTTAGAGCGGTACTACAAAGGCAGCTACGCCGCCAAGCAGAACGGGCACATGATGAAGGTGACGTCCCGGGACATCTATTACTCGGAAGTGACACCCCTGCAGTCAGACCTCTCCAGGTTCCTCCCAGATTACCATGCACACCTGGACACCAAGCCCAAACCGCTGGAATACGGCGGCCTAAAGCTGGAGTACCAGCGGATCCCCAGCGGATCCTCCCTGGACTATAGAGATCCCTTTCCTTACACCCCATCCCGAGCGTCAGTGCAGAGCGAGTGCCCCAAGGAGAGGCTGGAGTACGGTGACAGCGACTGGGGACACGGCCTGGGCAAGGATGACTACGACAAGAGGCCCAAGTCATCCTATGTGGATCCAGCGAGCCCTCAGCCAACCATGAGGCAGAGGTCCAGGTCAGGCTCTGGTCTGCAGGAGCCGGCCATGCCCTTTGGAGCGAGCGCGTTCAAAGCACACCAGCAAGGACATTCCTACAGCTCCTACACCTACCCCCGCCTGTCCGAAACCGCAGCAGGCATCCCCAAGGTAACCTGACATGCCTGGTGACAGGGCTACCAGGGCAGGGGTCAGCCTCTCCAGAAAGGGAGTGTAAAAAAAATTAGGGGTGTGCAAAAAATTATGGACAAGGAGCCTTTGCTTGGGGCACGTGATGGCAAACGTGGCCAGTGACATCCCTGGGAGCTGCATGACTGCTGCTTGGTGGCTGTAGAACCCCCCCCCCCTCTTTACTCAGGTCTGTGAAAATGGATGTCAGGAACATCCATTTTCAGGATGTCAGGGTTTAAGATAGGTTTAAAAAACAGGTTTGGAGATGCGCATCTTCTTGGGATTTCACTTGGAATTCCCAATAGCCCCAAGTTCTTTGGCAGTTTTTTTTTGTAGCACTGGGAGTTCATACACCTGTTCAGAGCTCAGCAGGAGGTGAGAAGCTGGTCTGGTTTGTATATCGGATGCTTTTGTGTTGGAATTTTTACTGTGCAAGGCTGAGACTTCTGTGATTTAGTATTTCTGTTATATTGATACCATCTTTATATCACAGGGTTTATTAACCCTTCACCACTAGTGAGAATGGTGAAACTGCTGTATTTATAAACAGCGAAATGAAATCAAAGCAGCTTACCTCACCCAAGACATTTTAGATGTAGTTTAAAAAAAGCAGGGCTAATGAGCAAAAAAACATTTCAACCATGTTATCTACAGGCAGCTCCTCTGAATACGTTTTTGACCTGTTCTGCCACGTGAGGAATATTACCCACACAAGCTGCCTTGCCCTACCTTGTAAGAGTTTGCTGAAACTATTTGTTCAGTTAAGGGAATACCACTTTCCTCACACCTCCAGTCACGTAGCCACGGTGATGACCTGCTTAAACATCTAATATTCTGCAAGAGGTGCTTTTGCAGTGTGGCTTGCACTGAACATTCCCAAGTTCCCCTAGCAACGGGCACCGAGATGATCGCTCCTTTTTCCAAGTCTTGGGTTGCTGTGCCTTCCCAAATGTGCTGAGTAGGGAGCTGTTTAGGTGCATTAAAGCACAGAGCTGGGTTTTGGAGCTTGAGGGGGGGGAGTAAAAAAGTTACCAGGTCTCTTGACATGCCTTTCTGAAGCTCAGGGTGTAGTGGGAGGAGTGTGTGTGGTAGTAACTGAGCACCAGTGTGGCCTTCAGTGTGGGTTCTGGAAGTTGTGAGGAAAACCTGGGATGGCTTTAGTTGCCATTTTCTTAACTGAAAGCATTAGTTTTGTCAGAGTTTAGAAAAGACAAATCCAGTAATTCAGAGACCCTCTTGCACCTGCTTCTGCCAATTTTACAGCATTCAGTAGGGCAGAAGGCAGAGGTATATTTTACAGGACTCAAAGCATTCCAGGCACTTCGAAAAATATCCCATTAAAATGCAGTAACAACTTTTATTAAAAAAAAAAAAAAAAGAGGTGCCTCCATGCAAGATTCGTTGTGAGGTGTTTCTCTCCTCAGAGCATCAAAAACACTCCTACAGCCTTGGTGTATGGAAACTTGATGATTCACTGTTCAATGCAGCAGTTTCAATTCCCAAACCCTACACAGCTTCTGGAAGTGAATAGCAGTTTCTTGCCCTGGATGATTGCTGAAGAATCTTCTTTTCAAGGAGGCATTAGTGAGATAATGGTTCATCAAATGGGCTTACTGAATGACAATCAGATCTCAAATCAGATATTTTACAAATGGGATTGGCTGTAAAGTATAATTAAAAGTGGGGGGGAAAGTCAGCAGTGAAAAAGTCTGCAGGCAAAAACGTATTGCATCAAAGTGTGTTTTACAAAGATGTTCATTTTGGCTTGTAAATGTGAAGAGCAGACTTACTTCAGTATTATTTGCAGGTGATAGATGTCAGATAAATCAGATATCTGCCCGGTTTCATCATCAGTGATGCAGTGAGAGTTGTAAGAAGCTGGAGGCTCAGATTTGGTTCCCTCCAATCCACCCCTCTGTTACCCACCTGCTCTCCTGTCCTGTAGATTAACTCCAGTAATACCTGCATGGGGTCAGAGGGCCTGCTGTGTTACCCTCACCACACAGAGTTTACATCCCACTTCGTTCAATGGAGTCACTTCAATATTGTCTCACAGTCCTGTTTATTTTTGGCCACTCTGCTCTGCATGTTTGCTTTTTACCCTCCTCTTTATCGCAGGCAGCCCTTTTAACTTTTGGCACTGGGCCCTGTTATTTCAAAGCTCCTTTCCCCGTCATTTTCCAGTAGGAGCTCTCCATGACTGACACCCTCTCCTGTCCCTCCTCCAAGGAGCCATGATGTCTGCTGTCCCCAGACATCTTTCTAACCCGGCTGCTGCTCAGCACCACCACCATCCTGCTGTGTTTTTGCAGGGACTCAGCACCAGGAGGACATCTCCAGCCTGGCAAAGGCAGGGCCAAGCCTTTGCTAACAGAAACCTTTCCCTTTTTTCCTTCTCATTCACACACCAGTGGCTTTACATGAGTGCTGCCTGCCACTTCTGTGCATGGAACAGGGAGTCTTGGAGATTTCCATCAGCAAAGCACCAGAGAGTAACCTTTGCCCTTGTGATCTCCGTGAGATTTACAGACCGTCCCTTCCACACCTTTTACTGAAACCTAATCAATCAGAAATCCATTCTGTGTTACTGAGAGGTGAGTCCATCTCTCCAGGGACTGGGAGGACGTGGGCTCTGGCTGCAGGGCTGTGGCTGCCACCTCTGCCGCAGTCCCACTGCAGAGCGCACAGGGACACCCGCTCGGCTGAAAGCCAAAGGTTCTGAAAGGAAGGAACCCCTTAGGAACAAGCAGGTGTGTAGTACAGAACAGGCATCACTGATTGGGAACTGGAATGAGTTTGAACACAGCATTACATCCACTTTTTAATACCAAAAAGCCCCGGCTGCCGCCGTGGCCGTGTGCAGGTGCGGGAGGTGCTACGAGCTGGTGAAGCAACCCAGCCGGCAGCAGCACCGCGGCACCGTGATGGATGTCATGTCAGAGCCTCAGCTGCTCCTTTGACCCGGTCTTGGGTGAGCACAGGGCTGGTTTCCTCTTTCCTTTGTAGTATTTAAAGAATTTCCTTTCAGTAGGTAACTGCATTCAGTGGCAGAAATAGAATTATTAGTGGCGTAAAGCATGTTCGATTTTGCCGCGGATGGCGGGCACTGCGTCAGGACACAGCCTGGGAGGAGAGGTTCAGCTGATTTGCTCATGACAGAGCCTGACTTTTTGTAACATTTCTTGGGATTCAGGAAGTAAACGGGCTTGAGTTGTACTGCAGTGCTAACCTCAAAAAGCTTTCACAAATTCCTAGCAAGCACACCAAACACCTGAATTTTCATTCTAAAATTTCACTGCAGAATATACTTTTGCCAAAGTGTTAAGCCTGGGGCGTACTCAAAAATACCAGACATGGGTGAAGCCTCAAATAATTCATTAACGTGGATTTATCCAGCTTGAATTTCCAGACAGGACTTTCCCTGTCTCAGTAGTTATAAAGAAAATGGTGTATTTACACCCAAAACCGTAATTTATGTGTCCCTGCATACACAGATATATAGGACAGGGCTAGATTGAGTTCCCCTCCCTCCACCAAACCATCTGAGCACTTTTCTGCATTAATTAGTTTGGCAGATGTAATGTCCTTCATGAAATTCGTGGTGTCTCTGACTCTCTTCTATTTTATGACCACCGCTGCCTGGCAGAGTAAGGGAAATTATGGCTGTAATCATGGGGATTTTTGCTTAGGCAAAACCAACATCCTGGGAGGCAGCTGCACAACACTGCTACGTGCTCACTGGATGCTCCATATGGCTGGGAGCTGTCAGTGTGCGAGTCTTGAATGGAAGCAGACTCCAACTTCATGTTTCCAAGGGGAATCTCCGAGCAGCCCCTCCAGAGAGGCATTCCCCCTTCCCTGCTAAACCTCTGGCAGAATGAGGAGAGGGGCACCCCAGCTCACCCCTGAGGCAGAAAAGCACTGATACAGTATTGCACTGGAGGCTTTTCTCCCTTCACCGAGGCCACTCCAGCTCCAAACTCCTCCTCTCCGTGCAGAGCCCACAGTGATAAATTGATGCTGCGGCAGATTTTTTTTTCTTTTTTTTTTTCTTTTTGCAGTCTTAGCATAAAATGGTCAAATGATGTTCCACCGCAGAATTCAATTTCACAGTTCAGTTGGGTCCTTGATTACACTGCCAAATTCAGATTAATGTGCATTTAACTAACATGGATCAGGGACTCCTGGCCGGCAGCCAGCAGTAATAGTAGCAACCGTGAGCTATGCAGTTTGCTGCTCTGTCCATCCCTGTGCACTGCCACTGAAATTGATTGATTAAATGAACTCATTGCCATAATTATTTGTAATTGTGCTACATGATGAGCCTGTGTCAAACCACCCCCCTGCCCCGAGATGCTCCACACGTCGTCAGGAGTCACACATGTTGTATTGAAAATGTGGAGATGCTCTTTTCCAGAGCAAAAAATGTAGGGTTTGGGTGGGTTTTTTTATGTTGTTTTGGTTTTTTTTTATCTCACATCCTTTGGTTTTTCAAACTATTGTGTTTGTGAAATGTTGGTTTGCTTTCAGTGTAAGAAGCTTAGAGAAGCTTGGAAAATTAAAAAAAAAAAAAAAAGAAAAATAAGGAGGGAATCGACAAATGAACAAGGCCTCCCATTGGGATAATTTGCTTCGCGATTTTCTCTGATTTCAGGTGAAAATTAGCAGTTTCGTGACACTGCAGTAGTCACTGTGTGTCACTGTGGAAAATGATTTAAGAAATGGTGAATTGAATTAGGCTGCTTGTCATACCCATGTGTGCAATCACTCAAACAACAGCCAGTAGCGTGGCAAGGCAGGAGGTGACAGGGATTTCAGGGTATCACTGCCTCCACAAGGAGAGGTTGGGTCATCCCTGGATTGCTGGGGAAAAGCATAAAAAAAGACTAGGAGTTGAGAATCATAATCCAGGTATTTGTATTTGAAAAGAAAGTCATAAATTGGAATTTGCCAAAGGGCTGCTGGTTCTGTAAGGGATGGATTCTTGGAGGCAATGGCCAAGAGAGCCTGCAGGGCACTGCAGATACAGAGCACATACACTTTTTGGAGCATAGGTCCCTTCCAACCCAAGCCATTCTATGATTAAACAAGGATTATTGTGTCTACAAACAGGTAACTGGACAGAAGAATGGACCTGAGATGCACAAAAGATCTCATGGTCTCCCCTGGCCTCATTTGAGTGCTGATGAGAGCACAGGAGCCCAGTGGTGTAAAACTCTTTGTTCAGACACAGGCAAGCAGTGTCATGTTGAGGAGAACAGGTACAGGTACACGTGGGACCATGTTGTGCTGGCATCCACTGAGGACCTCCAGGAAACTAACTGAGTCAGAAAGCTGTCACTGCTCTGCTTTTGTGTTGCAGGTGGATTATGATCGAGCGCAGCTGGTCGTCAGCCCGCCGCTCTCTGGGTCAGACACCTACCCCCGGGGCCCAGTAAAGCTACCTCAAAGTCAGAGCAAAGTCAGCTATTCAAGCAGCAGCTACCAGTACCCTTTGGTCTACCACAAAGCACCCCACTATCACCAGCCATCTCTCCAGCCCGGCTCTCCCTATATTTCCACCGCCTCCTATCCCAGCTCCCCAAGTATCACGTCAAGTGCTTACCCTCCACCCAGCTGGGGCTCCTCCTCAGACCAGCAGCCCTCCAGGGTGTCCCACGAACAGTTCAGAGCTGCCCTGCAGCTCGTGGTCAGTCCCGGGGACCCCCGGGAGTACTTGGACAACTTCATCAAGATCGGGGAGGGCTCCACGGGGATCGTCTGCATCGCCACCGAGAAGCACACGGGAAAGCAGGTGGCCGTGAAGAAGATGGATCTCAGGAAACAGCAGAGGAGGGAGCTGCTCTTCAATGAGGTGAGTTATTTTGGGTGGTGTGGTGGGTTTTGCAGGCAGTGGGCTCAGCAGGAGTCATGGGCCAAATGGCACCTTCAAGAACCAAATTAATAACTTTCTGAAAGAAGTGGTGAGTCCCGCAGGTATCTATACTGTGTAAATATTGTATAACCAGACCAGTTTTAAATGAGCTACATCTCCTCCTGGCTTTAAACCTGTGATGTTGTCACAGCAGTCAGCTCAGAAATGTATCAGCTGGTCCATGCAGGGTATCAGGTGCACAGACATAGCCCTGTGCCTTTTTCTGTTTCCTGACATAATTTATCCTTCCAAGCCGGAGGATCCAAACTGACCAGACTGTTCAAGAAGCATTTACACTGTATTCTGGAATACACATGCTTTTTGTTTCCTTTCTTCTTCCTCTCCTAACCCTTTGCTTTCTTGATGGTTACTGAGTTAAGAGCTGACAGTGCTTTTTTTATGGAACCATCTGTGTTACTTCCCACATCTCCTTTCCTGAGTGGTTGCAGCCAGCTCAGAGCCCACAAGTGCTTATGGGAGACTGTTTTCCCCACGTACATTATTTTAAATTTCAGAACACTGGTTTTCATTTGCCATTTTTTCACCCAGTTGTTTGAGGCTGAGAGTACCTTATGCAACTTGAAGAGTTTTTCCATTTTTTTACTTCTTATTCCCTTAAAGAAGCTAGTGGGTTGTGTCCCCTGCTCCCTTTTCAAGATCACTTGTAAATATGCTGATCAACACTAAAACCACTGCAGGAGCCCAGGGAAACCTCTTGTGAAAATGAACTTTATAATTCTATCTTTTGTTTCCTGTATTTTGACTATAAGTGGATCTTCCCTCAGCACATGACAGACTGGTTTCTTTAAAACCTTTAAAAACTTAAAATTTTTTAATTAAAATATTAGTTTTTAGCAAACTACACCCAGTTCTTTGCACAGTGCATGGCCGTACCGGGTACTTGGGCTTGGCTTTGTCTCTGCTGGAAGGCAACACTGAATTGGGCTGTGGTGGCTCTAACTGAGCATTTCTTGAGCAGTAACATCTTGAAGCAGGTCCTACACGCTGTGCAGGACCAAGCTGCTTCCCTGACACTCTCCAGTCACTCGTGTCAGCCAAGAACCTCTTTTGAGCAGCGCTGAAATTCCTCTGTCTGTAATGAAGCCTTCCCTGGCTGTTGTTTTCTCTCCTGGTCACTGTTCTGACAGCTCTCAGTCCCCCATTCTCACGGTCACTGCCTTGGCTGGGCTGCTCTTACTGTGGTCCCAGTTGTACAGTCCCTTGTAGATGTGGGATTTGAGTCATCCCCTGCATTACCAGCATTTTAAAATTCCATGCAATATATCTATATATCTATATATAAAACATGAACCACTGGGTTCATGATGAAAACTACTTCGATGCGGTGAATGATTGATCAGGTTAAAAAAAAAAAAGAATAAATCTCTGTTGTACTGAAGGCAGTTGGCAATAAAAAACCAATTAAATAAACAGTTCTGTTCCTGCAGGCTGAAATAAAACAATTATCTACCGCTCATACTTCGGCAGCCAGAGATTCCTTGTTCCTCCTGGTGTGTTTACGATGACTGATATTTTTATGTAAATACATTGGTTTTGTTTATGTGCTGGCTATAAGGGTTTGGGAGGATGTGGTTCATCCCAGAACCTTCAGCGAGCACCGAGAGAACAGCACAGCGAGAAAGAAAGTCGGAACGAGTGTCAGACAATGCTTGTAGCAACTCACAGGCCACCTTTCTGTGCCCCACAGGTGGTGATCATGAGGGATTACCACCACGAGAACGTGGTCGACATGTACAACAGTTACCTCGTGGGAGACGAGCTCTGGGTGGTGATGGAGTTCCTGGAGGGCGGCGCTTTGACCGACATCGTCACTCACACCAGGTGGGATGAGGGACCTGCAGCCTAAAGCCCAACACGTAGCCTGGCTGGGGGGGAGATGCCCTGGCTTTCCCTCATGGATTCCTCTGGACCGTGCCCTCTGGAGCTCACCTGCTGCTGAGGGCAGCTGGGCACCTCCCGGCTCTATATATGTATTTTTATTTTTATTCTTATTTTATTTTTAATCTTATTTTATTTTTATTCTTAATTTACTTTTATTCTTATTTTTACTTTTATTCTTATCTTTATTTTTAATCTTAGCCTTGTTTTATTTTTATTCTTATTTATTCTTATTTTTATTTTATGTATGTATAACATGTTTATACTGTATTTAGTTTTATATATATAAAACATATTTTTTTTATATATGGCTGTGTATTTGTAAGTACTAAAAAATACATATATAAAAACATAAAAATATGTGCCATATACATTCATGGAAAACATACATACATATATACACACATAAATATATATATAAAACATATATACATACATATTTATATGCATATCTGCATATAGCTATCTGTGCATATATATATACATATACATAGCTATATATATATACACACTATATATTTCTATATCTATATATCTATATCTAGATATAGATATATAGATGTACATATATATACTTATACCCATACATAGCATGCTACCTTTACCAGCAAAATAAGCCACTGCAGAGGAATTCCTGTCAGTACCAGCATTTTTTAAATCAAAGGGAAAGAAATACCTGAGAGGGCTTGCTGGTAGATGGGGATTTGCTGCAATTTAGTTGGTAGTTCATCAGCAACACAACTTTTATCCATTACTTCCTAAAAATAGCCCCCAAAAAAATGTTCTTTTCCCTGTTTGGTGATCTGCATTGTTGATTTTGCTGTCATGACCACATCAGTTCTAAGGGTCGTTTCTCTCCATGCTCAAAACCCGTGTAACCAGGCTGTCAGAAAGGTTATCTGCAAACCAAGTCTAAAACATAAAGGGAAGAGAGTTTTTATATCAGAATATTTGTGCTTGTGGTAGAGCACGTTCCCATATTTCAGTTAATGTCACACCTTTAAGCAGGTAATCCACCAGCACAAGAGCTGCAGTGTATGGAACTGCTCTGCCTCTTCTGAGGGGAGACATTAGATTTTACAGCCCTCTTTCCACCTGATCTTTGCTCATCTGCTCCTGATAATGAAATAGGGAAGAGCAATTCTTTATTTAATTTCTTCCTCTTGAATAAAAAAAAAATTTAAAATTTCCACACCAAATCAATGGGAGAGTATTTAGGGGAGCAAGAAGAAAAACAAGGAATAATAAATTAGAAAATTTATGAGAGAATACTTAGACCCTACCAAGAGCAGAGCTGTAACCCAGGTATTTTATTTTTTTGTTGCTTCCTTAGCTTGTGTGCTGAAATAAATCACAATATTGCAAGTCATTTGCTAACTACTGCAACCCAAAACATTAAAAGCTCTATCTTAGATATTTCTGACAGGAGTTTAACAGCAAACAGATGTTCCCAGGACACCACTTCTTAAGAGCTGTCATCTATTTTTTAACTCAAAACAGTCTTTTCTTAATCTTCTGGGCTTTTTTTACATTGCATGACCTTCCCTCAAAGATTTTGCTACAAATGGCACACAAAGTTAGAGCAGAAATCTCCACACGAGTTTTTCTGCTCATGTAAGAGAGATGCTGGGGACATCCAGCAATGGGGCAGCAGTACCAGGGTGCACAACCCATCCCAAAATGGGGGTTTTCAACCTTGCATAGAAATGAGGCCTCTTGTTTATTTTTCTGCTGAAATACCAGGAATATTTTTACAGAAGGCATAAAAGAGAATACAAGAGCTACACCCAGGGCTTGATGTTTTGTCTGCACAATTAGGAGTGGGGTTTTTTCTCATATTCATTCCACGCCTGTTTCCATCCCAGTGGTGGTTCACCCTCCCTGGCAAGCACTGAGTTTACTGTAAATAAGGCATTCCCCTTATGTCCCAGAGGGAAACGGGCTCACTGTCACAGGCTGCATCACATGGAGCACTCAGCTTTTTTAGTGCTGCAGGGAGACTTATCCAGACCTCGTTGCAGAGTTGATCCTCACCCTCATCCCATGTTTTTGGTCAGAAACAGGACCAGAGATTCACTCCACAGAGCCACTGCCCAAAAGATCTGTACACTGGCCTGAAGGGGAACTGGTGTCCCTTTGTTCCAGCTCCCCTTCCCCACTGTCTTCCTTAACGCTCCGTTTTTCCCACGTTGCTGTTTCAGGATGAATGAGGAGCAGATCGCGACCGTCTGTCTGTCTGTCCTGAGAGCCCTGTCCTACCTGCACAACCAGGGCGTCATCCACCGCGACATCAAGAGCGACTCCATCCTCCTCACCAGCGACGGCAGGGTGAGCACCCAGCCCTTCCCCAGCTCCCAGGGCTGCCATGAAAACAGCTGTGCCCCTTCAGGGTGACACTGCCTGGAAAAAAATGAGCCAGGCCTGTGAAACTGCAGGGTGTGACCTGTGAGTGACTTCTTGGAGAGCTGAATCCCAAAAACACAGGCCTGGCCTGGCCTGGCCGGTGATGGACATCTGTGCTGCAGGCAGCAATCCCTTGGGGAGGGATTGCAGCCATCAGAAGGCAGTGGCAGAAGGAGCTACACAATGTGGGTGATGGCTCGGTGGCAGGAGGTGATGGGAGATCATCTTTTAGGCTGCCCCGCTCCTACTGTGATGCCTCTCAAAAATACTTCCTTTTTACTACACTTCATTATCCTTTAGTTAGCAGCCTCTGTATTTGTGCTCTGTTAGCAGCTGCTGTACCTGTGCTCTGTTTCTCCAAGCTGGTGAAGAAGGCTAACATCTTTCTGTGCTAAAATAATAATCTGCATTACTGCTGAAACCCTCCCCTAATGGTCAGAGTAGCTTTTACATTTGTGAGATGCTTGATAATGCCAGTTCCACACTGCCATGTACTTGGATGGGATGCTGCTGCCAGTCAATTGGTCTTTGAGCAGGGAGAGAGGGGGACAAAATGCTGCACATGACTTGCTCAATAAGCAAAATGAAGTTTGCACACAAAGAAAATTACAGGTTGTTACACACCTGTCTAAAGCAAGACTTAGCGGGTTGGACTGAGCCTGTTGGTCTGGAATCAAATCTAGACCTTTCAGAAGGTGAAGCTCTTGGCTTCCCAGGCCTGGTCTGACTCCTTAACCAAAGGCTCCCTTGTTTAATTTGATACCCACTTCACCAAGGAAGAGGGGTTTTCTTCTGCAGCAGTCACAAGCTGCTCCTGTTAATCCTGTCAAGGAAAGAAAATCCCACGTGTGTAGGAGTTCTTCAGCTGGGATTTCAATCCATGTTGCTGAAATAACATCTGATCTGTGCTGGGATCTGCATACAGTGCCTCATTATACTCATTACTCCAGTACTTATTATCTGCATTGCAGATTTCTTCATGGCTGTGTTGTGCAATTACCTTTTTTTAGAAAATCGTTGTCTTTTATGTACTCGAATGAGCAATAGATATGCAAAACCTCTTGTGCTCCTACAAAAGATGATTGGACTCTGCTTCCAAAATACGCATTATTTCTTCCATTCTTCATCCAGTAAACTGAAAAATACATTTAACATGGAGAACTTGGCTATTATTGTTTTAGAAATACCAGCAATCATTTCATAATTCTCTTTAAAATAACACCCACAGCTTTAAAAAAAGTAGTGTCTGCACTGAGTCCAAAAGAAAACAAATCAGTGCTGACAACAAGTCAATGCAGGCATTTATGCAACTTCCCACTCCAGTTGTCCAGGGGCTGTTGGGATTCATTTTGTATTCCCAGGCGCTGAGTATGTGATGGGATACGTGGCCTGTGGACCTTGGGTCACCGTGGCACTGTGCAGCCTATAACTGGGAGTGATGGGAGTTAGGATAATGCCCAGGAAAACCCCTGTGATAGCTTCTAGGCCTTCAAATAACTCCTTGGGGGGGGAAAAGAGACTTCAGCCTTAGGGAACAAGCTGTTTCTGGAAGAGGGTGATGCCACCGACACTCAGACCAGCTTGTTTTGGTTGGGGGTTGGAGGAGTTTTCACCTTGGCATTCTACAGCGACACGGAGGGGGAGGTGATAATTTTCCATAATTTCTGTTGTTAAAAAAAACTGGCATAAAAGTATGAGTAGGCACATGATGCAGCAAGAGCTGCTCTCCGGAGTGCTTGTGTATCCCATTATTTCTATTTCAGGTCACTGCCACAGCTACTCAAGGACAGTACTAATTCCTGAGTTCCCAAGCAAAGGGAGCAGGTCCCGTTAACCCTTTTTTGGAAGAGTCTTGTGCCCTTCCCTGCCTTTCTGAAATCAGCTCTGTTACTACATAAAGATGACATTTTCTTTAGTGACAGTCCATGGTGTGAGGTCCTGGTCTTAAAAAAAACACTGGCAGGGGTTTTGCTTTCTGTGGGTGTTGGGTCATGCTCTCGGTGGTGAAAGGGAATGGGGTGAATGCCACTTGGTTCACCTGTGTCCTGGCAAATTCACAGGTCATGTTCCTGGGTACACATCCCAGGAGGGTTGTGTGTCACTTGAAATGTGTTTATTACTGAGTATCAGCATGCATACAAACTACAGACGTGGGGTTTATATATATGCAATAATAGATTCATTATAAGACTGTTACTTCAGAATTTTTTGCTTTCCTTCTGTTTTTAACCATTATAAGCCATTTATCACCTCTGCGTCTTTTGCTGGTGGAGAGGCAATGAGGTGTGACAGATGATAGTAATGAGCACCACTGCCACTCTCCTACGTCTTTCCCTTGCCTTCATTTTAATGAGTTTAAAGTTCCCCAGGCTGTGTTCCCATCTCCAGACACACTTGCAAAACTGTGCTGCTGTCCTGTCCCAGACAGACACAGCAGCTCCATCCCTGTCCCTCCCGCTGCAGCCAGAGGTCTGTGTTTCAGAGTCACGTGTGTCTCGCAGGAATTCACCTTGTTACTCAAGAGGGGCTTTTCCTTTTTCTTTTCAGATAAAATTGTCCGACTTTGGGTTCTGTGCCCAAGTGTCCAAGGAGGTTCCCAGGAGGAAGTCGCTAGTTGGGACACCCTATTGGATGGCTCCGGAGGTGATATCCCGCCTGCCCTACGGCACCGAGGTGAGAGCAGGGGGCACGGCTGGGACCCAGAGCTGCTGTTTGCCCTCTATGGGGTGCCTTGATCGACCCCACAGAGCTCAGGGAGCACCGTGCAGTTCAAAGGCATTTACATAGATATGCTAAATAGCAGCAATTACGTTTGCCCCAGAGTGCTACATCGCGCCTCCTTTTAAAGTGTTTCTCCGAGATGAAGTCGTTAAATAACAACTCCATTTAGCATACTTAGTGTAATGCCTTTATGTATTTACGCTTAGGGTGCTGTAGGAAAGGAAACTGGCCTTATTTTCACATTGGGAAAGACCCTTTGATGCTCTTTAATATAAAAGCCTGGAGTTGCAGTCACAGGTGTCCACACCTGCATGTGCCAAACCTGCAGCCAGGTTATGCACCTGTACTGCACAGCCAGGTCACACCAGTATTGGCACTGTGCTTTCATCCAGCTGAAGCCTGAGATTCCCTTGCTCTGGAGGAATGCCAGCAGAGGCACAGGTCCCGCAGGGTCCCAAACACTGGGTGAGTGAGCCAGCTGGGTGGGTAGGATTGCCACCCTTTGTGGTAGCACTGGTGTCCCCATCGGGTCGTTCCTTGCAGTCATTGCTCTCATTAGCTGAGAGACAGGGGTAGAGGAAGCGCGTCTGTGGGAGCTATTTTAAGCCTTGCCAAATGGTTCTGAAAAAGACAATCCACACATTTTTATTAGAACCCTTCAGAGGAGACCAGCAAGGTCTGCAGTGCCATATCCCATCCATTGGGAAGCTCTGAGTCACAGCACTCCTGCACTGCCAGCCTAGGAAGAGCAATCCCCTCTCCCGCGCTCAGCCGTGACAGTGACTCACGGCTCCCCAGCAGGAGACACGGCTGCCTTTGCTCCTCTGCGTGGGGACAGGAGCTTCTGCCTGATAGTCCTGATAGTAACAGCTGCAGAGAGCAACCCTGCAAGGCAGATAGAGCCAAAAATACAGATACCCAGATACATACATATTATATATTTATATACATATATATACACACACATAAATGTACAGAGATACAGAAATATACATGCACAGAGAAGGGGAAATGAGCTGAGACAGGAGATGCAGCAGGAACTGTTTTGGCACAGCCCCAGGGTGAGAGCACCCTGCAGGCACTGACGTGCTCCCAGGACAGGTGCCATTATGGAAGACATTCCAGGGGTAATAACATCAGCTATATTAGTCCATTAATAGCACTGAAAGGATTATAAAGTGGCTGAACTTATGGCTACATTAGGTTTCCCCGCCAGAAGGGAAAAAGAAAAAGGATTTGGGCTAAAGGATAGTGTTGGGAAAAGAGAAAAGCAGCATGAACTGGCCCTGGCTGTATTTGGGCTGGTGAATTACAGGAATTACAGTCATTAGAGAAATGGAATTTTGGAACAGATCTGCAGCAAGCCAGGACCAAAATAAAAAAAAGTAGGGTTGGGTCTGGAGCTGAATCATTTTCCAGAGGAATTATATAATGTGTTACCTCTGCTGGCTGGAAGCAGCTCTGGGTGTAGTTAAGTGCTTGTGTTTGCCTTGGGGTCTTGAATGGAGTTCCTGTTGGTTTTGAGCTTCGGGGGACACAGGATAACTGATTTCACAGCAGCTGAGTTGTGCTCTGCTCTCCCACTGGCTGCAGCACTGCAGAGCCAGCCTGGGGTGGGCAGTCAGGGGCTGCAGTCAGGGCAGCTGGAATGCAGGGCAGGAGGGTGCAGCCTCTCCAATGCACAGGGCTTCCAGTGGACAGCACCTAAACCAGCTGCAGACCTGGGTTTGTAAGTCACTGCTAATCCATTTCATCCATCACTTACTGCTCAAACGGCAAGAGCATTATCAGCTGGGTAAAGATTTATGGTGATGGCTCACCAGACTGCTGGCTGAGACTGGCCACAGACAGCAGCATGAACCATCTCCAAGCTTTGCATGAGCCCCAGTGCTGAGCCTGTTGGTCCCCCCCGCATTACCAGCAGTGTTCATGACCAGCCTGTGTGTTCCAGGTGGATATCTGGTCCCTGGGCATCATGGTGATAGAGATGATCGATGGGGAACCTCCGTACTTCAACGAGCCGCCGCTGCAGGCCATGCGCCGGATCCGGGACAACCTCCCGCCCCGGGTGAAGGACATGCACAAGGTCAGACTTCCCATTAGGTGATGAGGGCGTTGAGCAGGGACATGTTTAATAACACTATAGGCACACATTTGAGTGCCCAGCTGATAACTTCTAAGGTCCCACCTGGAGCAGTGGGTCATACACAGGACTTGTGTGGGGAGGATGTGAGGCCAAAGCCATCAGCCGTAGCCTTGTTTGTGCCCAGCCCTGGCTTGGCTTTTGCAGCGATGGCAAAGGGAGCTGGGCAGAGCCTCATGTTCCCTGTGCTTCCCAACCTGCCCCAGGACCAGAGCAAGTTGGCACATCAGCCCTGCTGTGGGTAGGTTGGCACATCCACACCCAGTGCCAAAGCCTGTGTGCACCTCCCATTTTGGGTGTGCTTCAGGCCTGAGCCCTCACCCCACATTATGCTTTTCTCACCCCCCACATGTAGAGCTGTGCAGGGGCTGCTCTTCTGCACCCTACTGATACCCAAATGGTTTCAGCATGAGCAGCATGTAGGAGACACAGCCCTTCAGCTCAGTACAGCTGTTACCATAGGCAGAATCACTGTGTCCCTTTTCCCAAGAAAAGCAGTGTGCACACAGCCAGAAGTGGATGTTTTTGTCCACCCCTAACACCAGTGTGGTGTTCCAGGTCTCCTCAGTGCTCCGGGGCTTCTTGGACTCGATGTTGGTGCGGGAGCCCTCGCAGAGAGCCACGGCACAGGAACTGCTGAGACACCCCTTCCTCAAACTGGCTGGGCCCCCTTCTTGCATTGTGCCCCTCATGAGGCAACACAGGCATCGCTGAAGCCGGCAGCTTTTTGGGAAAAGGTCAGTGCAGAGTCTGGATAACGGCCATGTGGGAATGCCAGCAGCTGTGTGGGAACTGCAGGCAGGGAGGAGTAAAACCTTGTGAAGGAAAACCAGCCCTGCTGAAATAATGCAGTGTATAAAAAAACCAAGGAAGTGCTCTCTATGCTCCCTGTGTGTGAGGGGCAGGGGAGTGATCCTGGTCCCAGCTGGGAGGCCACGCTCCACCATAGACCATCGCTCCCCAGCGCTGCTGTGTTCCCACCATCCAGGGAGAAGGCACCAAATGCACAGGTTGGAAAGGTAACGAGGAGAGCACAGCCAGAGCGAAACACCGGAATTTCACTGCAGGCTACGCCACTTCTGTTTCAGAAGAACACTTTTCTGACGAAACAAAGCACTTTTTATCTCGGTCATAGCAGCGCAATGTATTTTGCAACGAGTTTGTAATTTTCTGTACAGTCCGTTTTGATAATTTGCAGTACTTTGTCATGTAACTGTTGTGTTAGTTGAAGTAATAAGTGTTACCTTAGCGAGAATTTGAGAAGATTAAAGTTTCCTACTTTTTTAACCCTTTTGAAAACAGGAAAAAGAAAAAACAAAAGCCCACAACCACCTTTACGAAGTTGTAAGGTTTTGCAGATTTCCCATGGGGTGAGGAGAGCGCTCATCCCACCCTCTCGGCAGCCTGAAGAGCCAAGGATAAGTGATGTTTGTGGGCGCTCTGGCAGCCTGGCTTTGGGCACTCGCCCTCCCCGTGACACAGTGGCAGAGCTGCTGCTGAATGTGAGTGGTCACCTGGGTTTCCCTCCCCTTTTCCCAGGGTAGGAGCCAACGCATCCGGCCTGCCTTTGCTCCAGGGTCAGCCCAGGCCAGGGCCAGCCCTTTTTTTATGCCACCACCGGGCCAGTTTTGCCACCACAAAAGCCTCTGTTGTTTCTGTTGAGCTCTGGCAGTGGGAGGGGATCACCCAGTGGGATCCCCGGAGCTCCAGCAGACCTGTGGGATGTGCTGCCAGATGTTTGCCAGAGAGGAGAAGTTGTGCTGCTGTCCAGACCTTTCTGAATGTTGATGCAACAGTTGACTACTACGGTACAATTTTGTGTTATTTGTTGGATGACTTTGCATGTTATCTGTAGGCCTAAATAGATTTGCCTTTAAAATTTTTAGAAGTGCTTCATAATTATTTCAATGATAAATGATTTTTATTTATTAATGATTAGATCTTTTTAATTATGTATGATACAAAAGCCATGTTTTTCAAGTTTGGTTGTTTTTTTTTTTTTCTTACTGACCTCATTTTACAGTATCTTTAAGGAACCACAAAGCCAACTTTGTGAAAAAGCAGTTTCTTTCTTATGATGGAGTTTCATAGTTGATAAATTAATTGTTATTTATTGTAGTAAATTATAACCAAACATCTAAACCTGGCAGGAGCTGTTGCTTAAAGATCTTCCTCTGGGAGAAAAGAGTTGCCAATAATAAAAAAGCTCCTTTAGTTCTGCCCTTAAAAGAATATTTGAAGGGAGAGAAGCAATTTAAACAAAAAAAAAAAAAAGGGAGATAAATATGAACTGGAACATTGAATAGATGTTCTCACATCTGTGTGTCTTACTCCCCTCCCCTCTGCTTTCTCTTCTTAACCCTGTTTGCACATTTTAAGAGGGCACTACAGAAAATGTGTTTGGCTCCCGCCGCCCCGCCGCAGACACGCTCCCGGTGCCCACCCGGCCGAGAGCAGCACCCACAGCCTTCCAGGGGGTCTGTTTTGTAGTCTTGACAACTCAGGAAAACCGGCTGCACCAGTCCAGGCAATGGCATACAGGCACAACTGTAGTAACTAGCCACAAAAGTTAAACTTTTTTAACCATCTTTGAATAAAAAAAAAATTTAAAAAAAAAAAGGGGTTGGTGGGGGGTTTTTTTTCTTCAATATTCAGCACATTTTAGGCTGTGCAAGTGAAGAATTTTCTGCAACTTTCTTATCATTAGATACTTTAAACAGTGTTCATCAAGTTTACTGAAAGTTTTGTCGATTTCAAAGGGTTTTTTTTTTGTGAACACCAGCTACTGGTGAGACAAATGCACATGCAAGTTAAATAAATTAATTAATAAACACTTGAAGTTTCAGTGTGTTTTTTTCTTCTGTGCCTTTTTGCTGTTTTATAAATTTGACTCAGTACCACAATAGTGGGCCAAGCAAATAAGAAAAAAAGTTTTCCTTCACCCAAAATTAAGGGGGGGGAAAAAAAAGACTTACCCAAGCACATCTAAATAGGCATTTCAAACCAAGATACTGTAATTTCACCATTCTGAGAGGCCCCCTCCCCAAACATACCCATGTACACACACATACTTGTGTCAGAAAAATAAACAATTCTCCTCTAAACATAGAAAAAATCCACACCCATGTTTCAATACGAGTTGGCAAAGCCAGCACTTGAATAAAACACCCAGACTGTGGTCAGTCAGACAGTACAGAGCATTTTGAGAAGCGATGAGCACACCCATACACCTTTGCAAGATGAAGTTCTCCAGAAGGACTTGTCCCTGTTGGAACATTTCCATCTTGCTTTCCCTGCCTCTTAAATAATCCCTTTTTTTTGGCCTTACACATCCTTAATTTTTGGCTTACAACCATTCAGCTCTCACGCCTACTGACAACATTCCTCCCAGTGTCCCCAGCAGCACCAGTCAGCTGATAAAGCTACAATGTTATTTGCTACCTCTAAGTCTTATAAATGAGGTTTTTATATTACTCTTGATTACTTTTGGTTGCTGACATCAGTAAATATTTCAAGATACATTAGCCATCACCTAAAAAAAAACCAAAACACCCCAAACAAACAAACAAGAAATCTTAACTTCGGCTGTTTCACCCTCAGCACTTCAAACAAAGCCAAAGCTGGGCAAAAAGCAGGGAATAACCACGGTCTGTTACCTTGGGCTGCACAGTTGACTGAAGCTGATGCCGAGCTCCACGTATGTCCAGGTACTCCAGGGAGTTTATTCCCACCTGTCACTAAGGAATGATGGCTTTTTCTGAGGTCACAGTTCTAAAAGCATTCACAAATCCCCATCATTTCAGTAGCAGAGGCAGGGACATTTGCTGGTTGTGTAAGTCCCCTCCTCAGCAATACATCAATAATTTATAATTAAAGTTCTAATCATAAGTACTTGGTAAGTCATTAGCAGCTGCTTTAGTAAGTGCCTAATTATTACAGGTCCTTAAAGAGCTCAGTAGGGTGATAAGTTTCTTATATTTATCCACCATGAACTGGTGTGTTCATAAACATCTATATAAAGCAAAGCGTTCAATTTGCAGCCATCAATGAATGAAAAATAAATATAAAATTAAATCACAATAAAGTGCTGCCATCCTCAAGATGCTGCTGTAGCTTGAATGGGCAGGAGGGAAGCTGGACAGCTGTTTTAACCTCATAAATAATTTTTTCATAAATAGGCTTGAAAAGCCTTAAGCAGTGGAAAATTCAGATCAAATTCAGTAAATATTAAGAAAAGAATGGAAAAGATTAAAATATTCAAAGGGTTTTCACCCAACATCCTAAATAACTTTCTTTATACAACATATATCAGTCTGGGGCACAGACTGCCAGTGAGCTGAAATTATTGTTTGTATTTCCCTTCTTCCCCCCAAAAGAGAGGGAAAAACATTTCATCCCAACAAAAAAATTATTTGCTGTCAATTCAGAAAACAAACAAAAATAATTACTGTATTCATGCAACTAATAGCTTAAAGACACACTCCACCTGAAAGGGATGCCAGGGGAAACCTCCATCATCTGACATGAAAAGCAACATAAGTTCTTGAGGTTTGTAGGCACAGGGTCACAGGAGCTGCACCAGCTTTTTGGGGGGTCAGCCACTGGCCAATGCCACCACTTCAGTGCACTGGCCAGGGCTCAAGCAGCGGGATCAGGCAAGGACAGCTTCCTGTGAGCTGCCCTGCTGTGACCCTGTCAGGGTGGTCACAGGGTCACTGCAGGGTGAATTAAAATCACTTTGCAGAGTTGACCATAAATTAGCATTTTTTCCACCTTAACCACATGTTGAGATGTTTGAGAGCATCTCCCAGTTACACCAGGCTGGTCTCGCTCACCTTCTGCAGGGAGAGAAGCACCAACGTGACGCACAAGGGCTAAAGGCTAAAACCCACCAGCAGCTTTAGCTGAGCAAGCCACAAACTCCCAAACCACCCTGGGGATACGATGCCCAGCCAGCAGCTCCATCCCTCAGCCACTGCCTCTCCTACAGTGACACTTGGCAGCTCAGCCAAGCCCCAGGTTTCGCTGCCTTCAAACACGGGGCCATCCCAATATCCCGCTCCTGCAGCCACCCAGTCACAATGTGCTGTTCGGGAGACAAACGACCATGGAGGGGCTCCTCTGGCATCTGCAGTTCAGCTGTTTGCTTCTTTTTTTTTTTTTTTTTATCCCATCATTCTTTTGGATGTCAAATACAGGAGCAGATGTGCCAGGCTGATGGGAGCTGGCTGGGAGAGCCTTTCTGGCTGGAGGGCAGACAAGGGTGAGGCAGGACAAAGCTGATAACTGTGGCTCCTCTCTATTGAGGAGGAACCTTTAATCCTTTTATTCTCCCTCCTGCTACCTCTGGCTTTTTCTAACTGCCTCTAAACCAACGTTTTTTTAATAATTAGCTCATTGTAGGCAGTGGCACTTGGTCAGCCAAAAGCCTGCCCAGAACACTTTCACCGGAGTGTTAAAAGAAAAGGGCAAAGCCACAAGCACCAATAGCACAATAATTTTGCTTCTTAAATCCAAATGAGAAAAAAAAAAAGCCAAGCATAATATATAGGAATGAGACCAGGAGTAAGACAAGACTAAAGGAAGGCTTGTGCTGCATCCACCTTCAACAAAAAAACCTGTAAATTTTGGAGCATTAAAAGCCAGTGAAGTTTCTCCTCTTACATTTCACAATACTGAAATTACTATTTTTCTTTGATTATTATTTGGGTTTAAGCAGAAAGAGGACAGTCTGTCTGAATCACTGCTTGGATCAAATCAGCTTAAAGAACAAGAAAGTATTTTGCATACCCTAAGTTAACTCAAGGCCTGGACTAACTCCTGCTGAGGGAAGTCAAAGGCTTCACTGGAGACTGGACAGTACTGGAGTGAAACATCATTGCCCACAAAACATGTAAGAAAAGCAACCAAGAAATTAGAGTAATATTAAAAATAACCAAAAAATCACAGAATACTGAACCACCACTGTGTCTTCACCAAACCATCTGCTCCAAAACTCCTGCTAGAATAAATCCTACATTTAACATCCACTCAGCAAGATGTATATTTGCACTGATTCCATGAGGTATCTTGCAGTTAGGACGAAGCATTACATCATCTCAAAAGAAGAAGGCAAATCAAGTTATTATATATGTACATGTTTTAATTAATTTTAAAAATTGTCTACATTTAAGGATAGATTTCGAGGACTCCCTTATATTTTTTTCTGTTACATTAGATTATACCTGAATAATCTGCATAGTAACTTGAACATTACTGTTTTCTTCTTTTTTTTTTTGTTTTGTTGTGAAAATATCAGTTGCAGGTAGCAATGTAACATCTCAACAACAATCACAATACGTGCAGGATGTCCAGCCAGAAGCATTTCTCAGTTGACTTGCAGTAGCACGGCACTTTATAATTTGTGTATCAATACTTTTTTTTTTTAACTTTTTTTTATTTTAAAGTTGAGTTCAGATGTGGCTCAAGAAGCAAAAACAAACTTTCTTCACTCGATCTCAAGTGTGGGGTCAGCTCCACAGTTGACTTTGATCTGCTCCACTGGAGTTACTCCAGTTAATATCAGCTCCAGGTTCTGACCTTTAATTTTTTTTTTTCAAAACACACCTGTATTTGCCTCCATGCTGTCCTTAACATGGGTGCAAACTTAGGAATGTGGTTTGAGTCCCTTCATTAAAGGGCCTGAATGAAGGGGCTCTGTCCCTCAGCCCTGCTCCCTGCACGGGCAGGAGCAGAGAGGGCTCAACACTTCCCAGAGCAGTGCAGGGGGGAGGTTAAAAAAAAAAAAAAAAGAACAACAAAAAGCTAATTTTGCTCCCAATGTTACACTTTGACATGTGAAGCATTTCTGTTTCCAGATGATCAGCCCAGCTGCTTAAGAAGGTATTCAAACCACCTACTGCCACAGACACCTCACATCAGACACCGAGTCCTCTTACAGACTCTGCCCTGACTGAGTGAAGGCCCGGCCCTGACCTGCGTGTCCCCATGAAATGCTCACCATGAGGTGCTGTGAATACCATCTCTTGCCCCCCCATAACCTTTCCTCACCCACAGGAAAAAAAGTGCTTTTGCTTTTTCTACCTGATGAATACTCGGGTTGCTCGATCCTGCTCCCTATCCCATGTGCTTGTACTGAGATCTGTCCCGAGGAATCTGCACTTGGCTGGCTGTCAGCTTGAGGTGGATGTGGTAAATGCCAAGGGTGATCACGATCACCAAGCCCAGGATCAGGCCCAAAATCAGAGGCAGGGTTTCTTCCAACTGCTCCCTCTGGTCCACTGGGCACTTGTGTTCTGCAGGGAAAGGGAAAAAGGGAAAAGAGAGCTACAAATGAGACCCTGCAAATCTGAACTGCTGCAGTGGCCAACTGATCTCCTTGGAGTCACAGCTCTATCAGAGAGCAAAACCAGCTGCAGCAGCAAGGAGAGACAGCGACAGAACCATCACTGGAGCCCCAGGGAGAAAATCAATTGCTTTGGAGGAAAGTGAAATCACAGTAAACGCAGGGAGGGAGGCAGAGGTAACATCTATCAAACCAGCCATGCAGTGTAAAAAAACCACTTTTATGCCCATAAGCTCCTGTTCAGACCTCTCTACCACACATCAGTGGCCTTGCTGGGAATGGGACAGCAAAAGTATGTATCTCCTGACTGTGGCTGAAGATCTGCTTTGCTCATTTAATTATAGAGTCTATAAATATGATATCATGAGGTCTCAACGTCACTCAGATTTTAATCGTTCATCAGACTTGCCCTGCACATCATTCAGAGATTTCCCCATTCCATCTGCACGGTGGCAGAGGTTTAAGAGCATCGCTCTCCCCTTTCCGTG